AGATATTAATCATTCTTGAGTATTGACGAATCCTAACCAGCAAGTCACACTGATCAAGTGGCTATGGAAATTGATTCAACCATAACCCATATATAAGGACTTAAATATTCTTTGTTGTTAAGGTATGAACCAGTCAAAAAAATTTAAAAAAAAATTGTTAGTCGCCAATATAAATTAAGCAACACAGATCAAGCAGCATAATGCAATCAAAGGGTCCTTATAAGTTTGAATCACATTTGAAGTAGCTGAACATTGTTTTTCTATTTAGAGGTTACTTGGCTTTTATATGAAAACAAGCATGTTCAGTAAGTTGCTTTTGCAAGATGTGATCAACCTCCTGTAAAGGAAGTTTTGAGTGCCAAAAGAGGATCACTTAATGTATACTTCTTTAATTTAATTTCAGACGTCACTAATATTTGTTCCAAGAATTATGAAAGTCGTACTAATTAAAAAAAACAACTTCAAATTACTAAGTGTTGTTAGTTATACACGGAACTTCCTTGATTTATACTTGATAATTAACAAAACTAGAGAGAATTTTAGATAACGCAACTAATTGTGCTTTCAAACCATCATAAAAGAAGAAGGCACCATTAAGGGTGTTAGACCAAAAATCACCTCATTTAAAAGGGAGGAGCCGACAGTTGATATCTCATCATGAAAATATCATTAAAACACATCGAAAAAAATACAATTTAAACTGGACAATTTCATAGATGATATTTCATATGGCCAATTAATAAATAAATAAATAACAAATCATTTCGTGGTACTTCCGTCAACAATGATTTGTTAGTAATCTTGGTATTGTATATAAGCATATGATCTACTACCATGAAAATTGATTTATCGCACCCTAACAAAAAAATATGCTTACAAAAGGTAAGTTAAAACTAGTTAAGATGCATATGATGCTATTGACTAGTATTAAAAATAATTTTGGGGTAATAAAGAATACCAAATCATAGTAAATTTACACCAAAGATCAGCATTAAGGCTCATTAAGATTTTATCATTTTGTACTACTTATGAAGTTTCTTGTAAATGATATTAAAAGTAAAGTGCATTCGTATATGCTATTGATCGCATAATTATGATTAGTGAAACTTCATAGATATTAGTACATAATTAGAACAATGGAAGAAGTGCTTTGAAAGTAAGAGACTCATAATTAATAGAACAAACTGAGTATATAATAAATAAGTTTGATAGATCTGAAATAAATTATAGAGGGCAAGATTACTAAAAGAACACGAGATGCCAAAATATCATAGGTTCAAGTATATGTCTTTTCAATTGAAGAATCGGGATGGCAAAAATGGAAAAGTAACATAGAAGTGTTATGTAATAAGAGATGGAAATTTAATGGTAAATGATATAAAATTTTTATTAGATATGAATGTTAATATAAAGAAGTGACTAGCATTTAAGTTGGGTGTAACGTAAAGAATATTAAGTTGGATTTATGGCAAAAATAAGAAAGATGAAATGAGAATTGATCATATGAGAGGCAGATAAGAGTAACACATTGAAGGCAAGGTACTTCAAAATAGACAATGATGACTTGAGCATGTACAATAAAAGATAGAAGACAATCAATAAGACAAATTGATAAACTTAACGTGGACAGACAAAAATGAAAAGAGTGAGAAAAAGTAACATTGATTAAAATATAAAAAAAAAGAATTGCACAAAATTGATTGAATACCAAAGCAGCTCTCAACAAAAAATGTATGAAAAATGAGGATAAAAAAACTAATCCCAAAAAGAGATGAGATAAGACTAATACTCACTATGTTCAGCATCTTGTATTAACAATTTCTTCTCTGTCACACAAACTTGGCAACTTGGTTGGATTTTTAGGCATCCTAAATATATCTTCTCTTTTCTAGTTCTTAGAGTGTTGAAAGAATGCAGAAGTTCCATCAATTACATTACCTGCGTGGGATTAATAACATAGCACCTAAGAGACCTCAGGCAGAAAACTTCTATTTACATTTGCAAAGAGTTGAAGGAGGATTCATCACACCAGTCAAAGAGAATTGGGACAAGGTCGGTGAAAATAGCAATAAATTGCAGAAAATGGACATAATCAAACATATATACTAAGCCCATTTGCGAGAAAGCAATTTAGCAAAAGCATAATCTTCCAAAAAAATCACAACACAAGTTGCCTGAGATTCTAGGCATGACTGAACAACGCTAAAATTATAAAACAACAAAAAAAAGAAACTCACTTAAAACATCCCTGACGACACCCATGCCCAGCTCTGAATCACCGCCTAGCATCGAGTAAAGGAGCTCCTCCGCCTCCTCGCTGCTATACGTACAAACCGCTGGCTTCTTCCCCTCAACTGGACCACCCAAACCTCTCCTCCCAGCGCTACAAGCTGAGGCCGATTTCGAATAATGCTTCCCAATGACACCAGAGATCATACCAGTAGACGCAGCAATCCTCTTGGGCTTACGCGCGCTCCTCTTCTTCCCGCCTGAACCAGGGCACTCCCCCGGGTCTACAAGCTCAGCACCCAGGATGCCCGCAGCTTTATAGGTGTCACCTCCGACCTCTTCGTAGGCCGATTCGATCTGTTCGACAGAAAGGCGGGGAAAAGCGGAGATGAGCCAATCCAGTCCTATTTTCCGATCATCTTTGGTTTCCTCAATGCCTCCAGCATCCGTGATTACGGAAGCCGGTGAATTGGGCTGTGTGCGAGAGAGATCCGTCTTCACTTTACTCTTGTTCTTCCTCCTCTTTGAGGGTTTCATCGTATGGGCACGATCGATGGTCAACTGATCGATTGCGCTGGCAAAAGCAGTCCAGCGGAGATCAACGGGAGAACGAATCGGAGAAGATTTCGGCGTGGGAACGATCGAACCCTAGTGCAATCGAAAACCTCGATTTCAAGTGACACAATTCTCAAAAAAAAACTACCCAAACTTTTTGTAGTTAAACCATCAATGAATTGCGCGAGATCAAACTGCTCTTATTTAAGGTAGTGTTAGGCTAATTAAATCGTAACAT